TTGACTCAATTTGTTCAGCAAATATGCGTTGGGTACTCCTTGCCAGGTCCTGTTTTAGGTACTGAGGATACAACAATGAACAAAATACTCGAGGTCCCAGTTCTCATGAAGCTTACACTCTAGTGGGAGAAGGGACAGACAGTGAACCTGAAAACATGGAACACGTTAATTAAAGGGTTCATTTATGAGAAAACAGGTAAAATGTTAGCTATGGAGAAAGAGACCGTGAGGCAGGGAGAAAGGAAGTGCTGATAGCAGACAGGGTTGGAGAGTTTCTGTTTTACACAGATGGACAAGAAGGGTCTCTGATATATCTGCTGAAGAATCCTGAAGGAAGGGAGGGTGCAAGTCACTCAGATACCTGGGAGAAGATCTCACTAACGTGGAAGGAGCAGCAGATGCAAAGAGATGCAGATGGGATTGGGCTGATGAAAGACAAACAGCCAGGAAAATAGAGTAGCTAGAGGGGCACGAACAAGCATGAGAGTGACAGAGACAAGATCAGAGAGGTGGCAACTGGGATGGGTCATGAAGGACAAAACTTTTACATCATTATGAAGCATTTGTTTTTTGCTCTGAACAAATTAGGAAGATTTTGAGCCAAGGGGTGACATGATATATTGAGAATAGATTTTAGGGGGCAGAAGTATCCTTACTACCTGGCTTCCCTGGTGGCTCAGAGGTTAAAGCATCTGCCTGCAATGCGGGAGACCTGGGTTCTATCCCTGGGTCATATCCCTGGGTCAGGAAGATACCCTGGCGAAGAAAACAGCAACCTACTCCAGTATTCTTGCCTGGAGAATCCCATGGACCGAGGAGCCTGGTGGGCTACAGTCCAGGGGGTCGCAGAGTCAGACACGACTGAGCGACTTCACTTTCACTTTTCAGTATCCTTACTATAAATTAGATTTCTCTGGATAAATGAATGAATTAAAGCCAATTAGTAAGTGTACAAAAAAGAACTTATTCTTGTCTGATTTGCAGTATTTTTCACTCCATTATAGATATCTCTCCACAATTTTGACTAGTCATTTTTTGGGGAGTATGTTTCTACCTGTAATTTAAGGCACCCTGAGTTTTCTAAGGTATAGGTCAGTAATAAGTAGTCCTTAGAACTGGTGATACAAAAAATCATCTAAATTCTTTATTCAAAGAAGAAGTCCACATAACAAACACATATTTATGTATATAAAGTGTATATACTAAGCTCACGATGCTTAGTTTTCTCTAACAGTTCAAATGCATACTCTATGATGAACTTTTAATTTCTATTGATGTGTGGTTGTGGCAAATGATCTTTCTGCTTTGAAGATGAAAAAGAAAAGGCATGGGAGAAACCAGAATGCTATAGACTGAATGTTTGCCATGTCCAAAATGTATACATTTAGACCTAATCCCCAGTGTGATGGTATTTGGGTGGGGCTGTAGGGAGGTGATTAGGTCACAAGGGTGGGGCCCTCATGAATGAGACTGGTGCCTTTGTAAGAGACCCAGAAAGCTCCTTAGCCCTTTCCACTCTATAAGATTGCTATGGACCAGGAAGCAGGCTCTCATCAGATACTGAATCTGCCAGGGCCTTGATTTTGGCCTTTTCAGCCTCCAGAACTTGGAGAAATAAATTTCTGTTACTTATAAGCCACCTAATCTGTTATAGCATAGGCTTGGGGCATAGGCTTGGAGTACTGTGATATTGAATGGTTTGCCTTGGAAACGAAGAGAGATCATTCTATCCTTTTTGAGACTGCAAATGCCCAAGCCTATGCCCCAACCAGTAACACTGAAGAAGCTGAAGTTGAACAATTCTATGAAGACCTACAAGACCTTTTAGAACTAACACCCAAAAAAGATGTCCTTTTCATTATAGGGGACTGAAATGCAAAAGTAGGAAGTCAAGATATATCTGGAGTAACAGGCAAATTTGGCCTTGGAGTATGGAATGAAGCAGGGCAAAGGCTAATAGAGTTTTGCCAAGAGAACACACTGGTCATAGCAAACACCCTTTTGCAACAACACAAGAGAAGACTCTACACATGGACATCACCAGATGGTCAACACTGAAATCAGACTGATTATATTCCTTGCAGCCAAAGATGGAGAAGCTCTATACAGTCAGCAAAAACAAGACCGGGAGCTGATTGTGGCTCAGATCATGAACTTCTTATTGCCAAATTCAGACTTAAACTGAAGAAAGTAGGGAAAACCACTAGACCATTCAGGTATGACTTAAATTAAATCCCTTATGACTATACAGTGGAAGTGAGAAATAGATTTAAGGGACTAGATCTGATAGAGAGCCTGATGAACTATAGATGGAGGTTCGTGACATTGTACAGGAGACAGGGATCAAGACCATCCCCATGGAAAAGAAATGCAAAAAGGCAAAATAGTTGTCTGAGGAGGGCTTACAAATAGCTGTGAAATGAAGAGAAGTGAAAAGCAAAGGAGAAAAGGAAAGATATTCCCATTTGAATTCAGAGTTCCAAAGAATAGCCAGGAGAGATAAGAAAGCCTTCCTCAGCGATCAATGCAAAGAAATAGAGGAAAACAACAGAATGGGAAAGATCTCTTCAAGACAATTAAAGATACCAAGGGAACATTTCATGCAAAGATGGGCACAATAAAGGAAAGAAATGGTATGGACCTAACAGAAGCAGAAGATATTAAGAAGAGGTGGCAAGAATACACAGAAGAACTGTACAAAAAAGATCTTCATGACCCAGAT